TATTATTTAAAAATGACTTTCACTTGGGATTTTACTATATCCAACAAATCAACCTCCAAAACAGTGTGTGTGGTTGTCAGTGGTGTACCCCAAGGTTCAGTGTTGGGACCCTTATATTTTTAATATATTTTTATAAACGATATAGGGTCTGGGATTACAAATCCCATTTCAGTCTTTGCAGGTGACACCAAGCTGTGCAGTGAAATAATGTCCTTACAGGATGTCTCCAATTTACAAGCCGACCTCAATGCACTGTTTAATTGGGCAACCATGTGGCAAATGAGGTTTAATGTTGATAAATGTAAGGTTCTGCACTTGGGGGCTAAGAATATGCATGCATCATACATACTAGGGGGGGGGGGGTACAACTGGGGGAATCAATGGTGGAGAAGGATCTGGGAGTTCTGGTAGATCACAAGCTTAATAATGACATGCAATGCCAAGCTGCGGTTTCTAAAGCGAGCAAAATCCTCTCTTGTATTAAAAGAGGTATAGACTCCAGAGAGAGAGATATCATATTACCCCCGGTACAAATGATTAGTAACACCTCATCTGGAATATGCAGTTCTGTTTTGGGCACCAATTCACAAAAAGAACATTGGGGAACTGGAGAAAGTACAGAGAAGGGCAACCAAACTAATAAGAGGCATGGAGGAGCTCAGCTATGAGGAAAGATTAGAGGAACTGAATGTATTCTCTCTTGAGAAGAGGAGATTAAGGGGGGATATGATCAACATGTATAAATACATCAGTGGTTCATATAGTGAACTCGGTGTAGAGTTATTCACCCTGAGATCATCATAGAGGACAAGGGGGCACTCTTTACGTCTGGAGGAAAAGAAATGTAATCTCCAAACATGGAAAAGTTTCTTCACAGTGAGCGCTGTGAAAATGTGGAATAGACTCCCTCAAGAGTTGGTTTTGGCCAGCTGAGTGGATTGCTTCAAAAAAGGCCTGGATTATTTCTTGGATACACAGAATATAACCGAATACTAAACATTTTTAGGTAAAGTTGATCTAGAGAATATCGGATTTGCCTCTGGGGGGGGGGGGGGAATTGGGAAGGAATCCCAAGATTGTGGGTATAGGATAACTTTTTTTTTTTTTTTTATTTTTTTTATTTTTTTTGGAATATAGGAATATCTTAAGTGCTACCACTTAATAGCCATTCTCGGTTTTGACCATTAGAAGTCCCTGGCCGGTATGTGCTCCTGGACTTTCATCCTGTCTGTTTCGTTGGTGTGCTAAGAAGTTTGACACCCAGTTTGCTTAATATTGTGACTGTGTTTAGTGATTATTTATACGATGTTACAATAAACATTTTGATACAGAATTACTTGGAAGCCATTTTATATGAACTCCTCATTTATTGCCATTGTCATCCAATCATATCCCTGGTTTGCCAGTGTGCAGCAAGTAGTTTTGTTGTGGTTTTACAAATGTCCATTTCTCCAGTGGATTGTTGGCAGCATTGAACTGTGGATTCAAGGACACTTACACAATTGCCAGCCTAATGATTCAGCACCTGGTTCTTCTCTGAATTGTTTTATATTGGAATCTCCCAGGCATCTGCCCCTTTGGAAAGACCTCCCCCTTCTTCACTGGCTTTGATGGTTTTCTGGCTCGGTGTTCTGTCTGTGTTGAAGGCTTGTAAGGCTGGCCATAGACGGGTCGTTTATCAGCCAAATTTTCGGCCGATAGACGAAGAATCAGTTGTTGCTGGCAGCGATGACCAATAATACTAAACGAGAAAATTGCGGAAAACGACCGACGGGCTGGCCCCACTAACGGTGTGAATATCGGCTGATTTTTCGTGCAGACAAAACTAAACGACCCTTCTATGGCCTGCATAAATCTACCTCCTGGAGGACTTGTCCATCGCACCCGGAGAGCCTCTGTTTAGTGTGCAGCCTTGGGTTTCCACCCTCACTTGATAAGGGGTTATGGTTCTTGGCTCTGCTCTGGCTGTTTTTCTTTGTTGTTCTTGGCCGCTCCTTTTTGGTTCACACCTTCCCCTAGGGGGTTTGTCATGTGGGTCCCACTGCGTGCTTTCTGTTGCCGCCATGGGATTTGGTGTTGTCTGCTCTTCAGAAGCCTCCCTTTTTGAAAGCATTTGGAATATTCCCTTTGTTTTTACAGGCAGTTGCCTTCCTGGTCTCTCTTTTTGGGTCTCTGCAGGTGTTGCAGTTGGTGACCTTTTTTATCTTGTACGCCCGCCTTATCTGGTTTTCCACAAGGACAAGGTGATGCTTACCTTTGCTTACCTTTCCTCTTCTTCCTTCTGAAGGTGCTGTCGGATTTTCACTTGACTGAGTACATTGTTCTTCCTTCTCTGAGTCCAAGGCCACCGCATCCTATGGAGGTGGCTCTGCACTCCTTGGTTGTGGTTCGTGAAAGAGAGTTTTTATAATTGAATTTCTTTGTACTGTGGGAGACCAGATATAGTGAATGTAGGGTCCTGGGTTTAGTAACGCTTTAAGTCTGCAAGCGGCAACCTGGTTGTCTGTGCACACTTTACTAAGGTCTGTGAAGTTGATGGCTTGGCATCCATCAATGCTAGTTGTGGCTGCAGACTTTTGCAGGCCACCTCTGGAGTGGTTCATAGTGTTGGCAGATTGCCTGGGATTTTTTTGTAATGGTGCACCGAAATGAAAATTCTGGTAGCAATACTTCAGGATGCACTTGGCCGAAAACCTGAAATGGACAGGGTTTTTTTGTTTTTTTTGACATAAAAATACATTTTTAATGGTCTAAAAAAAAAATGAAAGCTGATGCGCCAAGTAAATGCCCAGCATTTCATGCTTTTAATATTACGCACGCTGGTGGAATAGTGTCAAAGTGACGCATTAAAAATTTCTACAGGTTACCAGTGTAAAGTTGCAGAGGAGGTCTAGTGCTAGAATTATTGCTCTTACTCTGACTTTTTTTTTTGTGGCGGTACCTCACATGTGTGGTTTAAACACTGTTTACATATGTGGGCATGGTCTACGTATGCGTTCACCACAGACGGGGGCACATAAATTTTTTTTTTTTTTTTTTTTTTTTTTTTTCCTTCAGCTGGAACTGGGGCCTTAGTCAAGGTAGAGGGAATTATGAACACTTCCAAATACCAGTCAATATTGGTACAAAACCTTCAGGCTTCTGCTAGAAAGCTGAATATGAAGGGGAACTTCATCTTTCAGCATGACAACGACCCAAAGCATACATCCAAATCAACAAAGGAATGGCTTCACCAGAAGAAGATTCAAGTTTTGGAATGGCCCAGCCAGAGCCCAGACCTGAATCTGATCAAAAATCTGTGGGGTGATCTGAAGAGGGCTGTGCACAGGAGATGCCCTTGCAATCTGACAGATTTGGAGTGTTTTTGCAAGGAAGAGTGGGCAAATATTGCCAAGTCAGGATGTGCCATGCAGATAGACTCATACCCAAAAAGACTTGAGTGCTGGAATAAAGGGTGTTAAGTTTCTTAAATTTTAGGCACAAAATGTATTGTGCTACAAAATCCCAATAAGTGCATAACTGGTTTACATGAAAGTTATAGGATATATAGTGGAATTTTTAAGTTTATTTTATACTAGTAATGGTGGCGATCAGTCACTCTTACCGGGACTGTGACAGTGCCATGGGCAATCTGACGCTGGATGGGAACTGCCTGACACTGACATCACCAGTGACGCTTTACAGTGAATAATATACACCGTCACTGTACTTATTGCACTGGCTAAGAAGGGGTTTACATCTAGGGGCAAATCATAGCAATAGCAAGCATTTAGAGGCCGTGATACTGCAGTCAGTTTTGTCCAACATTGTCCATATGGGGATTTCAGTAGTAGTGTGGACTTTGGTGAGCAGAGCCAATTGAGCCGCCTTATAATAATGAAGGCGCAGAGTTCCCAATTCAATTCCCTCTACCATGTGTGGGGTTTTTTGGGTGTCTCTTTTTTTTTTTTTTTCCCCCCCTTTTGGGGAGCCTGTAAAGCATTTGCACCCAGGCTCAAATTCCTCATGAAGACCCTCTGCCAGGTGACCTTTATGACTCGCTCTACCAGATACCTTTTTCCACCCTTAGAAACAAAAGAAATGTTAATGAGCAACTTACACCTAAGGCTAATCTCAACACATACTGCTGTCTCTGGTTCTGCTCTCTGTATTTCTCTAAACAGTCTGAAATGGTTAATAATTTACCACTTTCCAGTGCATTCTGGGCATTTGGGAGGTTCTCCTGTGCTTCTCTCTAAAAAAAAAAAAAAAAAAAAAAAAACACAACTTCCAAACGCTGTATGCAAACGCAGCTAAACAGATGTTTTTTTTTCTTTGTAACCTATGTTTTTTCCATCAGTCAGTTTCCATTGTTCAGATGTGTCCTGTGTACATGGGGCCTTAAACAGACTTTACTACCAATTTAAGGAAAGTGTGGGATTTTAACTGGTTAAGGAGCCAGCAGCCGTCTGCATCCTGAACAACCAGAAACTGCAATTGTGGTTAGGGAGCTGGCGGCCACCGCACCTTTAACGACCAATGATTCCTCATCTGTCAGCGAGGTTCTGAATGTAAACAAGAATTGGCGACAAAAATTGGGGAAACAAAAAAACAATGTGACCGTGTGCCATAGGAAACCTAAAGGCAAAAACTGCTCTTTAAGTCGTCTATTGGCCAAAAAGGTGCTGAAAATTATTCATTTATATTAATATATATGTCAATTAAAATACAATTTTATATATGGAGAGAGAAAAACCTCTTTAACCATTTTCGGCCGAATGCATCGTGAATTTTTTGGTTTCTGTCCAAGAATTGTCATTTCAGTGCACAACTAAGCACTAGCATTGGCTCAGTGAATTGTCTCTGCCAAATTTTAGCTGATCTGCACAGGTGTAGTTCTGTCTAGTGATTAAAACTTTTCATTGTGTGAAATAAATCTTGACCTTTTTCTCTTCTAGGTAGCAAGCATGGATACCAAATCACAGTTTGCTGGACGTTATAAAAAGGACATGAGTATAGACAACTTGAGAGTAAAAATTGCCAGGCGTAAATCCGTAAGGCAGAAAGAAAACCGAGATAAAGAGTTCAGAAAGAGCAGAGGCCTGGCACTGATGGATGCAAATGTTTCAGTTGGGAAAGAACAGGACCTGGCAGTGCTGGAAGAGGTCAATGAGCCTTTTTTTGCCAAGGGGTCCATGGATAAAACTGGTAAGATATGACTGTGAATTGTAGTTTTTTAATAACAATAGCTGGCTTGACTAGTATTTTTGTTTTACTTTCTGCTCCTTTTTGACCCCCCCACCCCACTCGACAACAAAATCTATGCTGTGAGGCCTATCATTGGACATTGGTGGCATAATACGCTGCTTGTGAGTCCTGGGGCTGTCTCCTTTAGGGTTCTGTGGAATAAATTCTCATTTATGCAACTGGGTCTAGACCAGCATTTTGGTTGCCATCGAGTGCCAACCCCCCCCCCCCCCCCCCCCAAGGGTGCCTCCCGTGTAGTTCTTTTAATTCTTTAATGACTCCGTGGGATCTGAAATTGTGATTTGTATGACCAAACATTTCTTGCCGAGGGTAGTATCTGCCTTTTCACTTCATCTAGGGCTGTAAATACAATGTTTTGAAAGCTAACCACCATCAGGTGGCACCATGGTCACACCAAACTATAAAAAGTCACGTCCCAGAATCAAAGCGCAAATGTTTGGGATGTAACCAATATGGACTTTATAGGCATGAAGTTCCTAATATTGGACACCTAAAACCAATATATTTGGTCCACTTCCCCCAACTGTAGGGGGTTCCACTGTTTACAATCTGCCCAACATGTTTCATGACTGGAGTCACTTCCTCAAGTGCTTGAAATGCATCAATAAAACAGAAGAGAAACTTGCAAATAATAACCAGAAATATTTTTCATTGTATTTAAACTAAGACACTATAGAATTTAGAAATGTCAATGTCACGCAATGTGCTGAATTCTCAAGGAGATAGATGGGACGCCACAGGCCCTCCAAATCCCTTGGAAGGGGGGGATGTGGAGGCACAACTTCGGGGGGGGGGGGGGGGGGGGGGAAGAGGACCACCGTGTAAAAAGCATTGTAACTGATAAATTCAAAGTAATAACCTTCTTATATAAAAGGTATTTACTGACGTGCTAAAACGAGGCACAATGTCTTAACGTATCCAGTGTGTTAGGCCACAGTGGTGTAAGACCCACATTAGAGAGCCTGAAATGACCAAGACATCTAGAGCTGCTCTCCCTTTGTCACCAAAATTTAAATACACTCCATTGTCTCAATGCGGATTGGGCTGTGTGGATGTAGTTTTAGATGGACCTTGTGATTCTTTCAGCCACTGCTTCTTTTGCAACGGTATGGAGGAGCTCGGCTATGAGAAGACTTCCTGAACTGAATGTCTACTTTTGAGAAGAGCTTAAGGATATGATCAACCTGTATAAATACATAAGTGGTCCATATAGTGAACTGTGTAGTTAATTTTCAGGTCATCCGAGGACAAGGAGGCATGCTTTATGTCTGGAGTAAGAGATTTACACCCTGTTCCAAATTATTATGCAAATGCTATTTTTCTCATTTACCTAAATAATTGCTGTAAATAACAGTCAGCATAATTCTCATGTTATCAACTATTAAGAGTACAATTCAAATTTTGTTAAAATCCTGTTAGGATTGTTCAAACATAAACAATGTACTGTTCTAAATTATTACGCACAGTAAGTTTCAAAATACTTTATAGGTTAAGAACTGAAAATTGTCATTTGTTGTGTTTGTAGCATATTTACTGAAATCAAAAGCTATTTCAATCAAAGTTTTAACTTTTTAAACATTTTAACATAGGACCCCTTATTTGATAGCGGCTTCACAAGTCTTGCATCCATTGAACTTGTGAGTTTTTGGACAGTTGCTATGTATTTTAGCAGCTGCTCTCTTGATCCGATGCATGGATCTGGCAGAAATCTTCCTCAATGTGCCTTTATCTGCACGAATCCGTCTGTGCTCTGAATCAGCTACAAATCTCTTAATAGTGCGATGATCACGCTTAAGTTTTCGTGAAATATCTAATGTTTTCATACCTCGTCCAAGGCATTGAACTATTTCACTCTTTTCGGCAGCAGAGAGATCCTTTTTCTTCCCCATATTGCTTGAAAATGGTGCTCTGCTTAATAATGTGGAACACCCTCCTTTAGTAGTTTTTCCTTAAATTGGGCTCACCGGCCAATCTAATTATCACAGGTGTCCGAGATTGTTTTCAGTGATAAAAAGAGCCCTGACACAATGCAGTCCATGAGTTAACCTGAAAAACAAAATATTTAATCTTTGCGACACTTAAATAGAATTTTGCATAATTTTGGAACAGGGTAAAATCTTCAAATATAGTAAGAGCGGAGAAAAATGTGGAGTAGACTCCCCTCCCTCAAGAGCTGGTTCTGGCCAGCACAGGATTTTTTTTTTTTTTTTTAACATACTATGCACAAAATAATGGGCAGCACAGTGGCTAAATGGTTAGCACTTCCGCCTGGCAGTACTAGGATCGCTGGTTCGAATCCCAGCCACGGCACCTCCTGCCTGGAGTTTGCATGTTCTCCCTGTGCCTGCGTGGGTTTCCTCCAGGTACTCCGGTTTCCTCTCACACTCCAAAGACATGCTGGTAGGTTAATTGGATCCTGTCTAAATTGGCTGTAGCGTATGTATGAATGTGAGTTAGGGACCTTAGATTGTACACCCCTTGAGGTTTAGGGACTGATGTGAGTGTACAATATATATGTAAAGTGCTGCGTAAATTTGACGGTGCTATATAAGTACCTGAAATAAATAATGTAACTAGATGCTTATTTTTTATAGGTAAAGTTGATCCAGGGAATATCCAATTTGTGTCTTAAGGGGTCAGGAAGAAAATACTCACCCCCAACCCTCCTGCTTTCATCATAAATTTAGGCCAAATCAATGTATATTATTAGATTGTAAGCTCTTATGAGTAGGACCCTCTTAATCCTCTTGTTTTGATTGTATTGTAGCTGTACTGTCTCCCTTTTTTATATTGTAAAGTGCTGTGCAAACTGGTGCAATAAAAGTCCTGAACAAATAACTCCACAAACAATGGTGTATATCTGGAAAATCTATCAATACTGATGGTCTATCATTTCTTCAGGCCTGAAAATACCAGAACAGTATAAATATCCCCAGAATGACTCCTTTTTGGAAAGTAGACTGTCCAAGGTATTTAATAAGAGGCATGGTGAGGTGTGGGGTTTTGTTTTTTTTTTATCAGGCGGAACGGTGTTCCACCTCCGGTCCTCTGCTTCCGGCTGTCACTTCTAAATCCAGAAGCCCAGCTTGTGTTTAGAAGTGACAGGTTACTTCTCCCAGCAGTGTGCACAGACCCCTCCCTGTCTCCAGCATGGGGACAAGGGAGATGCAAGAGCCCACAGTGCTGTTATGGGAGGGAGTGAGATTAGCATTGTCAGCGGCACCCTCTAAATGATCCTGATCTGTTTCCTGATGGCCAAATGCCGATGCTCGCTGGATGATCATTCTCCAAATGAGAGAAGTGAACCTTGCAGCATTCAAGAGGCTGGATGGGACGTCATCAAAAAGTAAGACACATGCTGAACTCTGCATTCTGTAAGCATAGCCCTGGACCAAGCACCTAGGCATGCAGACTGCTTCTACAAACATTTTGTGAAAGAATGGGTTGCTCTCAGGAGCTTGGTGGATTCAAACATGGTACTGTGATAGGTTGCCACCTGTGCTAAAACTCCATCCGTGATATTTTCTTGCTTCTAAATATTCCACAGTCAACTCTTAATGGTATTATAACACAGTGGGAACAGCAACTGAGCCGCAAAGTGGTAGGCCACATAAAATGACAAAGCTGGGTCAGCGCATGCTGTAGTGCGCAGAAGTCACCAACTGTCTGCAGAGTCAATGGCTAAGACCTCCAAACTTGGTGTGGCCTTCAGATTGGAATGGGTTTCCATGGCCAAGAAACTGCATTCAATCCTTGCATCAGTCCTTACATCACCAAGTGCAATGCAAAGCATTGGATGCAGTGGTGTAAAGGATGCTGCCACTTGACTAGATATGTGTTCTCTGGAGTCATGAATCGTGCTTCTCTGTCTGGCAATCTGATGGACGTTTCTGGTTTTGGCGGTTGCCAAGAGAGAACAGTACTTGGCTGACTGCATTGTGACAAGTGTAAAGTTTGGTGGAGGGGGGGATTGTGGGGTGGTTTTTCAGTGGTTGGCTTGGCAACTTCGCTCCAGTGAAGAGAACTCTTAAGGTGTCGGCACACCAAGACATTTTCGACCATTTCATGCTTCCAACTTTGTGGGAAGTGTTTGGGGATGGCCCCTTCCTGTTCCAACATGACTGCACACCAGTGCACAAAGCAAGGCCATAAAGATGTGGATGAGCGAGTTTGGGGTGGAGGAACTTTGACTGGCCTGCACAGAGTCCTGACCTCAACCCGATAGAACACCTTAGGGAAGGAATTCGAGCAGAGACTGCGAGCCAGGCCTTATTGGCTGACATCAGTGCCTGACCACACAAATGCACTTCTGGAAGAATGGTAAACATTCCCATAGACACAGCCTTCCTAGAAGAGTTGAAGCTGTTATAGCTGCAAAGGGTGGACCAACTAAATATTGATCTCTACGGACTAAGACTGGGATGCCATTAAAGTTCATGTGCGTGTAAAGGCAGGCATCTGTTTTTGGCAAGGTGTGTGTGTGTGTGTGCAATAAAAATTTATTTTTAATATAGTATATTTTTCCCATTCTTGTTTTCCAATGCCTGTGTTTTTGTATTCATTACTACAGCAGTCCCTGGTAAAAAGAGAGACAACATTAGCTATGGGCGTCGTGCGTTGCTGCAGCGTTATTTGGAAGAGAAGGAGCTAAGGAAACTTAAGGTGCAGAGAGAAAAGGCAAACAAAGGAGTCTTCAAATGTGGCCTATACAAGCCTGAAAATCCATTTATTCCAGTTACCTCCCAGCATGCGGTCAAAGTTAAAATGAATGAAAAGGTATGTTTTTTTTTTTTTTTTTTTGTTAGTGTGTGTGGTTAAAAAAAAAAAAAAAAAAAAAAAAAAAAAAAAATCTGGTGCCTATGCAGATTTTATTTTGATTTTAGAATGAACTTGCAAGTGTCCAGGAAATGCTTTCATTTGTTCATTATTTAGAACATACAGTAAGGGCTCGTTCACACTAGGCTGTTTTGCCAACGCTTGCCAAACACCCCTATAGCGTTTGGCAAGCGTTGGTCCGGCGTTTGCGGAGCGTTATTAACGCTCGGCAAACGCCGCATGCGCGGTTTAGCGGCAGTTGCTAGGCGTTTGCCGAGCGTTAATAACGCCCCACAAACGCCTATAATGCAGTTTGAGTGGTGTTACCGCTCCGCAAACGCCGGGCGTTTGCGGAGCGGCACCATAGACGAGAATAGGAGGCTTCAACGCCTCCTGACTCGTCCAGAGGCGTCCGTTTTGCCGCAACGCAAACGCTCCCATTAGAACAGCACCATGTGCTGTAATGTGCAGAATTGGCAGAGGCGTTTGGGAAGCGGTAAAAACGCTTACCAAACGCCTCTCTGCCGCCTGCACACAAGGCTAGTGTCAACGTAGCCTTAGGCCTCAGGCACACAGGATGGTGTGTGGTTTTGTGTGTTTTTTTTTTTTTTTTTTTTTTTTGTTATTTTGGACAATAAAACAAATTAATTTTATTCTGGCTATTGAAGTGAATTGGGGTGGTATTCCCCAAAAAATGTACTTGTATAAATACCTTTTTTCGGGTTGTGAGGCAATCTAAGGATCTTTTAAAAATTGCCAACGAGAAATCTAAATGGAGCGATATATGTGTGCATATAAGAAAGCTGCCAAGGTAGCACAATGACTATCGCCAAACTAGGACTGTCAAGCTCCAACAAAAGTGTTCCCCTCCTCCATCCAAGGTAAGGTGTCAACGCCTTCAAAAGTGTATGCTCTGAGCCTAGCGCTAGGAGCAATATATAGGGGAGAGCCAAAAATCCAGTCCACCCACCCAAATGCGGCCGTCCCTGGCGTCCTACCGCCCAAAATGGACAGACCATGTGGATATGCCACTGCGCGTGTGCGGCCATGCTGCCTTGTATGTGCACTAGTGACGCCGAGGCGGGCCGCCAGCATTGAATGCTCAGTATAGGCAGTTCCTGGCCAGTCACTCATGCACGCGCAATGAGTGGTGGGACTGTGGCGAGCCACTGCTACGCCAATTCAAAACACAGAAGGGTGGGTAAATTAACACCGCCTCACATCTGAGGAGTGGTAGGGAGACATTTTGCTAATTACCGTGTGTCTTTTGGCCACAAGATTCGAATGTTTTGATTTGATGGTATTATGGGGTAGTGACGGAAGCGTAGGCAGAACAGAACACACAAAGCAGATGGTAAACACACAAAGCTTTATTGACCTATGGAAGGCACTCAATCAGGGTAGGAAGGTAGTGTCCAGGTACCCAAAAAGGGGAAGAGGAGAGGAGCCTAAAATTGTAATCCGGCCCATGATGGAGCAATCTAGGTAGCGATGGCCTGAACACTCGGGGGGCAGTCCCAGGTAACTACGATACTCCAGACACGCAATAGGCAGTCCGTGCAAGTATTAATCCCCGGCACACAATGGGGGCAGTTCAAGCAGCAGCACTGATCTGGGCACACAGTAGGGCAGTTCAGGTAAGGCTAATCTGGGCACACAATAGGGCAGTTCAGGGCACTCCGCAACATGCAGCTTGTAGGGACACTCACGGTAGGCGGCTTGCAGACACTCGGCAGCAGGCGGCTTTCAGGGACAATGCAGTTAAACAAGGATCCTCACAGGGCTCAGCTTTCCGGGGACTCAGCGGGGTCTTGGTTGTGGGGTCTGACCTCAGCTCAGACCTCACACCGCTTTCCAGGGACAAAGCGGTCAGCAACAGGGATCCTCATGGTCTCAGCTTTCCAGGGACAACAGCAGGCTCACGGGGACTCAGCGGGATCTTGGCTGTGGGGTCTGACCTCGGCTGAGACCTCCCAACAGCTGTTCTTTCTCTCATGCAGAGGACCAACACAGCAGTCAGCTTGTCAGGGACACAGGCTTGCAGGGTCTTGGCTGTGAGGTATGGCCTCAGCTCAGACCCCGCACAGCGACCTGTCCGAGCGGGGGACGAACAGCAGGCTGGGTCCCACGCCGGCCTTCTTAAGCCGGCGCAGGACGCTTCCCGGTTGCAATGGCCGGCCCAGCATTGGGTTGCCGGGGCAACGAGGCACGCCCCCCCCCCTCACTCAGGCCATGCTCAGGGAGTGCGGCCTTTTGTCTCCGCCGGGAGCAGAGTGCGGGAAGCCTTGTGCCCGTGCTGTGCCTGCAGGGGGGCGTGCGGAGACAGGTCATCGGCACTGCACCGGGGTCTCCTGGTGGGGGGTCGCAACTCTTCCGGCGATATTGCCGGGAGAGGTGTGATCCTCGCCACAGGGGCCACTTCCTCTCATCCTGCACAGCCTGTCTTCAAAGGTTGCAGCAGGATGAGCGGAACTCAGCGAGGGGTGAGGTGACAACAGGCCGGGGGACAGGCACAGGAGGGTGGGGGAGGCACGGGCACTCCATGACAGGGGTGATCTCTTATAATCTCAGTGGGGATTGAAAGTTTGGGCACCCAGCTAAAAATTTGTATTAATGTGCATAAAGAAGCCAAGGAAAGATGGAAAAATCTCCAAAAGGCATCAAATTACAGATTAGACATTCTTATAATATGTCAACAAAAGTTAGATTTTATTTCCATCATTTACACTTTCAAAATAACAGAAAACAAAAAATGGCGTCTGCAAAAGTTTGGGCACCCTGCAGAGTTAATATCTTGTACTGCCCCCTTTGGCAAGTATCACAGCTTGTAAACGCTTTTTGTAGCCAGCCAAGAGTCTTTCAATTCTTGTTTGAGGTATCTTTGCCCATTCTTCCTTACAAAAGTCTTCCATTCTTTGAGATTTCTGGGCTGTCTGTCACGCACTGCTCTTTTAAGGTCTATCCATAGATTTTCAATTATGTTGAGGTCAGGAGATTGTGAAGGCCATGGCAAAACCTTCAGTTTACACCTCTTGATGTAATCCCCCGTGGATTTCGAGGTGTGTTTAGGATCATTATCCATTTGTAGAAGCCATCCTCTTTAACTTCAGCTTTTTCACAGATGGCATCAAGTTACCATCCAAAATTTGCTGAAATTTTATTGAATCCATTTTCCTTCTACCTGAGATGTTCCCTGTGCCACTGGCTGCAACACAACCCCAAAGCATGATTGATCCAACCCCATGCTTAACAGTTGGACAGAGGTTCTTTTCATTAAATTCTGTGCCCCTTCTTCTCCAAACGTACCTTTGCTCATTCCGGCCAAAAAGTGGGATTGTGACACTGAGGCAAACATGGGTGTCTCAGGATTTTTGATCTTAATCTATGGGAATATGTAATATCCCACAAACTTTTAAACTAATTGTGTAATAAGCATTTGTATTCTAAATATTGATTGATTGTTATTGCTTGGAGAGAAGGTATCGGCACCAAGAAGAAGAAAAGTTTTTTTTGTTTTTTATGGATGTGATGGCTGAAGTTACCAACAAGACCTATTATTTTCAAACCATCAGTAGGGGGGGGGGGAGGGGGGGGGGGGGGGGGGGGGGGGGGGGGGGGGGGGGGGGGGTGTTTCTCTCTGTGCCCTGTTCATACCACAATCCTAGTATAATCCTAGTATATACTAGTATCCTAGTATCACCTGCAGATAGATATATTATATAAAAATTTTATTTTTTTTTTTCCTGTGCCGGAATCTGCAACGTGTATAAAACTCACTGAAACCTACATGGAAACTGATGTCTCTGCAAGTGAAATCTGAGCGTCAATTTCCATCAGTTTTTGTGATGTGTGTGTGTGTGTGTGTGTGTGTGTGTGTGTGTGTGTGTGTGTGTGTGTTGTGGTTTTTTAATTTTTTAAATTACCATACATGATTAACCTGTTGAACTACAGCCGCTTTCTGGTTTATAAACGAAGATTCTGTAAGATGTCATGAGGGGGAGCCCCCCCTCCTATTTTTATGAACATTCTGTGCCTGTTCTGCACTGTCTTGAAAGAGGCAGTGCTTTCTCATGTCAATCTTCAGCAAGGAAGATGGTGAGCAGCACAATAGTGGCATTTGAATTTTTCAGGTTACTGCTTAAGCACAATCGCCCTCTTGTGTTCATTGACAGACACAGTTCTTCTTATTCTTGAACTTGGTGTTTTATAGTGCCACCTACAGGAGTAGGAGACACAAGGCAGAAAAAGAACAGAGCACCACCTATAGGCAGTTCTAGCTGGTATAAGCCCCCTCTTTGCTAGCCATTCATTTCTGCCTAGTATTTCAAGAGTTAGGACCTGGCCTTCCCCCCCACCCCCCCCCCCCCCCCCCCCCCCCCCCCCCCCCCCCCCCCTTTTTTTTTTTTTTTTTTTTTTTTTTTTTTTTTTTTTTTTTTTGTTGCAGAGATTCTCAATCCACAGCTAGGCTGGGGGACAGGCTGGATACTTTTTAGATCCAGTGGTCATGCTAGTCTGGCCAACAAGCACATGACCTAGCTTTGCTCTGGGACCGCTGAGACAAAACCCCATCCTGGACCGGAGTAGCCAGCTAGTAAAACTTATCGTGGGGGCACATGACCTGCATCCATGTCAGTGTTACCCTGGCCATTTCAATGGAAATGAGGATCTGTCTCGGGTGTTACCTGCAACCTCTGTGGATCGGTAAGTAGATGTCGTCCGTCCCCTCCCCTGTGTGGGGTCAAGGTACTCCCTGGGATGGTTGGCCCTGCAGGGTCCCCTCCTTCTCCAGGGTCTGCCTTTTCCAACCCCTTCTCACCCTAATGTGGTAAATTGGTGTTTTTGGGTTGAGTGCCCTGGTTTCCTGGCTTCTTCAGTTCCAAGTGCCATAAGGTGTTGCTGATGGATGGTGAGCTGTGTATGCAGTTCCCCTCACTGGCGGCTGGGTCCAGGATTGCACATCC